TGAAGTTGGTCAGAAATTTGATAGTACTGTTAAAGTTAGATTAGCACTTCAATACTATTCAATTGCTAAATGGTTCGAGTATGATTTTTACCACAATGAACAAAGACGCATAAGAGTCTATTGCCGATTCAAGCACACACATGGTTGTCCTTGGATGTTGTTTGCTTCCCCGCTCAGAAATTCGTCTATCATGTCCATAAAGAATTTCGAGTCTACCGATTCCTGCGGTCAACATGGAGCAAATACTGGCAACTCAAGGGCATCAAGGAAGTTCATTGCTAGCCAAATACAAGTTATTTTGAAGGTTAGGCCAGATCTTCATGCAGTCGATATCAAGAACGACATGCTCTCTAATTTTAGCATCAAGATTAACTATAGTAAAGTGTGGTGGAGCAAGGAGATAGCTCAACAGGACCTGTTCGGTGACGATGATGAGGCTTACGATTCACTGAGATGGTCATTATCTTTTTTATTCTTCTGAAATCACTCTTACGTTTTGGTTGCTAACTATACGTAGTAGTTGTTAAAGTTGTTGGTTCGACGTTAAGTATACTGATTGGTTTTGAAGTTTGAAGATCAGTTGTTATGGTTATGAATCCGTTGCTAAATCTACTACTTACGTTTTCGTTGCTTGAAGTTTGAAGATCAGTTGTTATGGTTATGAATCCGTTGCTAAATCTACTACTTACGTTTTCGTTGCTAACTATACGTATTAGTTGTTAAAGTTATTGGTTCGTCGTTAAGTATACGTGTCGGTTGTGAAGTTTGAAGATCAGATGTTATGGTTATGAATTCTTTGCTAAATCTACTGCTTACGTTTTGGTTGCTAACTATACGTATTAGTTGTTAAAGTTATTGGTTCGTCGTTAAGTATACGTGTTGGTCGTGAAGTTTGAAGATCATTTGTTATGGTTATGAATCATTCGCTAAATGTACTGCTTTATTGTTATATTCATGCAGGTATGAATCCATGGTGCATGCAACTAATCCAGGGAGTTGTGTTGTTACTGATGCTAATGACGGGTGGTTCAGACGATTGTTCATTAGTTATAATGCATGTATTGAAGGGTTCATTGATGGGTGTAGGCCTCTATTAAACATAACACGCAAACATAATTACAAGCCACATCTAACCTATACAAGTTTGTGGCTCCATCAATGAGCCAGACACCAATCTTATAGGGCTCTTATCCTTATATACAGAGAGGGTTCTGGATCGTGCTTCGCTTAGTTCCTCTCTCAGACTTCTATTTTGAGCAGACAGCTTAGCCACCTTCATAGAAAGAGCATTTATCTTTACACGGTCTGCAACAATCATACCCTTGAATTTATTCTCGTTCTCGCGACGTAATGCTTGGTTCATTGCCGCGATGCTCTTCCAGTAGATAACTTGCTGAGGCCATTCCATTTGCTCAACTGCCTCATTTGGTTGCTTGACGTCTTCATCAATATCCTGTGGCATCACATATGCAATGGACAGATAGAGTATTATTAAAATGATTAATTAATTAAAAAAAATGAAATCCACCATTGCTAAATTCTTACAACTGCATCAATTGGGATGTCGTCATCTTCTGCTCTCCTCTTCTTCTTGTGAAGAATGTCTCTTGGGCCACAAGCCCTGCCGGCGTCTACTGCAGCCGGTCCCTTAATCCTCCTCTTCTCTCTCTCTCTCTCATCTTCTATTTCTTGATCCCCTGCTCCTTCCCCCCACAAACCTCCCTCGATTCTTTAAAATTGGTCATGTTGCTGTTGAAGCTTTATCGTAGTTTTGCTTGCTTTAGCTGCAACAGTGGTCAATCTTAAAGAACCAGCAACCTCTCCAAGTCTCACCCAATTTGTGAGGGGAGGCCTCACCGTACATCCAAGTGCTGGCTTCTTGATGCCGGTAAGTTCATAATATCATAACTGCACATTAGAGAAATAAAAACTTAACAAACACCTTTATCCGTAACAATTAATAAGTAACCCTAACAATAAAAACGTAACCTTAATAACCAAACCATAATATTAACAACCAAATCGTAACCTTGACAACCAAACTGTAACATTAACAACTAAACCCTAACCTTCACAATCAATAATAAAAGACATGATTACTTACACAAACTAGAGGGGTACACCCTTGCAGATATAAAGTCGTCTTCCCTGGCTCAGGACCCTTCAGTGCCCTCTCTATCGCGTCAGATATCTCACTGAATATATAGGTCCCCTAAGCAGTGTTATTGACATGTTCGATGCTGTCGACGTACTTGAATAAATGCCTAGGAACGCCGGAAACACTGCTTGGACACCAAATCATGCTCAGCTGATAGAGGATCTGTAGCAGGACAAAGTCCTTCACATCTCGACGATCAGAAGATAGTACCAGCTTCAAGAGCAGGTCCTCCACATTGTGTCTGGTAGGGCCTCCTTTGGGAGGAGCTATACTGCTGGAACCCCCGGCCTCGGGTTTGTCAAAAAACCTGGACCAAATCCTATTTTTCCTATCCCGGTTGTGGTCAACATGAAGCCCCTCATTGGAGAACCATGTATGCTCCATTACCCACTCAAGGTTGAATGAGCATGCAATCTCTTCTCCATCATTCCTATCGGTGAAGACGAATTTTTTGATTTTCTTGTCCTACTGACTCAAAATGTGCTCAAAGGTGGGAAGATCGACACCAGGTGGGCTAAATTGGACGTAGTGTCTGAATACACTATCTTCGTAGGCCGCAAAATGCTTTGGCCCCATACGCATCACCAAATTCCGCATGAAGTCGTGATAGGCACTGAAGCTGGCGGTGGGTCGTAACGTAATAGTTGGCTTTGCCCTTTTTCTACAAAACAAAAACACAAGACAAGAGCATTTTTTAGTATACTCGGTAAACATAACAACTATGATGTAAACTTTGTGGATAAACCAACAACCTTAACAACAACCACATAACCTTATCAACCAAAACCTAACCTTAACAACCAAAGCCTAACCTCAACAACCAAACAACAACCTCAACAATAAAAGCATGAACCTTGCATGTTAACAGTAACCTCAACAGCTAACAGACACCCGTAATTTTGGACCTTCCCACCAGACTAGGAGCATTATCAATCAAACCATAACCTTAACAACATAAAACTTACGGTAAAAATTACCTTTTGGGTGCTGCCACGTGCTTCTCTTTTTCTCCTCTCTGTAGACCAAGGATCGCTCTAGTGGCATCGTTGGACGCGCCGGTGGTGCCGGTGCTGCCCTCTAGACCTTCGCGGGGGCTACACTTAAATTTTAAGGTGGGCTTCTGGATGGAGTCGGTTGATTTAGGGCTAGGGTTTTGAATTGGATTTCTGGAGTCGGTTTGCTTGCAGAAGAGAGAGATGACAGGGTACGGACGAGGAGGTAACTCATAACGGGGAATTTTAAACATAAGGGTATTTTGGGCATTTCGAGTGGGGTTTAAACGGAATTACGCCTGGAGATTCGTTTTGGGGGCTAGAAGAAAATCGCGGGCGGTTTTGGGGGCAAAGCACCCGTTGAAAAAATCTTAGGGGGGAAGCACGTTTTGTTGTGTTTTGGGGGCTGGAAGCATTTTTTCCTTAATAATAAGTGTTCAGATGATAAATGTTGTAGAATCGTCGATGATGTAGTACCAAGGTTAAGTGATATTAATAATAAGTGTTCAGATGATAAATGTTGTAGAATCGTCGATGATGTAGTACCAAGGTTAAGTGATATTTCTATTTCATGAAATAAATATATCAAAATTAAACATTAATATTATAATCTAAAGAAAATTGATAATGAAAAAATATAATGTATTTAGTTCAGATCCTCATGGAAAATAACACAAACAGAGCAAAGGTAACATTATAACACAACAGAAATTCTTATTGGATGCATAACAAAAGAATTCATTACAAAGAAAAAAAGTAGTTCCTAACCCTATTTAAGTAATAAATTAAATGCATAAAATTTTTTATATATATGAAATTAACATTTATTCTTATTGAAATAGGAAAAAATCAAAGTCCGCATTATCAGAAGATTGTGTTGAACATAAGAAATATATTCTTTGAATTTAGATGAGAAGACAAAAGATGAATGAGCCTAAGAAAAGATAACATGCTCCAGTCTCATATCACAATCGATGTAGACGATGAAGACACTACTCTAGAATTACCCAGAAAAAAGATAAAGATGAAGAATGATTGATCTCGACTCAATAAAAAATAAAATAGAAGAAACAAAAGATAATGTTTTGTGAATTGTTATAAAATAGTTTTATTTTTTTAGAAAAATTAGGAATCTTTAGAAGGGATTTTCATAAACTATTTTTAGTACTTTCATATGCATATGTAGATGCTTTTATCATATAAAAGTGTGCTAGAGTTAGCATTAATTTTTATTTTATGATTTTTTTTCATTAACTATTTTCTGTAATTTTAGCCCACTTTAAATCAATCATCTTGGCTCGTTGGTTTTATTATTCATCTTCCTTTTATAATGTTATTTTTTCAAGTGTTTTCACTTTCATAACGCTATACTTAATTAGGTCAAGCTCAGTTTCATGCCTATCCAAATGAAATAAAAATTTTAATTGGTTTTTTATATTATATTTATCTCCTGACAATTCAACTATCAACATAAAAATTTAAACTAGGTATAGCCTATTCAAACAAATATCAAATAAATAAATAATTAAAGCGTAATCGAGGAACAAATTTTAGGTTGAAAATAAATCAAAATATACTTAATTAAAGTGAGCAAAAATTATCAAAGAGTAACCGAGGAACAAATTTTAGTAAGACAATAAACCAAAAATACCTAATCACAGTATTTAACCACACGTGCATAAAATCTAGTTTCTTAAAAAATGTGAAGCATCCTATTGACATCTGAAGAAAAACTTATCCGAGGAAAAAATTAAAAAATAGTACATCAAAGTGCACATACACATTTGCACAAAGAAATAGTACTGCTAAACTAAATGTAAAACCAACTGAAGCTCTCAACATGTATTAAATTATCGTTTCTTTGTATAATAGTAGTATTCATTTTGCATCCCATCCACACACAGTAGATTTTATACAGTGAAACAAAAAAAAACTTCCAAAATTTTACAATATCTGTCTAATAAAATGATCTCTTTGATTGGATCAATGTATTCTACAATCTTTAGTGTAAAAAAATATGTGCAGCCAAGCAGGAATCAAGCATTAGCACTTTCACATCATGAAGATTTCATACCGTCAAGTCCAACACCAGCCTGTATTGATCAGGAAAAAGAATCAATCTAGCTTAGTGATATGTAAACTATATGAAACTCATGAAATGTTACCAGGAATTTATGGTTTGCTTTGAGGAGGAGAGAGAAAGCAGAACAGAAGTTAGTGATTTCTTCTTTTACGTCACTTGATCCTGCACCTATTACATCCAAGAACTTTTGCTTATCGGGAAGAAAATTTAGGGCCAGCTGAAATTGTGAAAATATTTCTATTTCAGTAACTAAGTGGAAAACTATAATTAAATTTACAGGCATGGAATAAAATTTTATATTGATTGGTGAATTTGTTGTATAGATATCATTCAGTATGTATTTTATAGCAGTATAGGTACCTGAAATTTGCTCTTTAAAGTAGATAATATGGAATAGTATTAGTTTGACTGAATAGAAGAAAATAATTTATGTAGCCAATCTTCAAGTTTGGAATCAAAACTTTCTTCTTTATTATATATAAATAGAATAATAGAAACACCATAGACATAGTCATCTTCGATTGGCCATGTTTAGAGTTTCAGAAACCAGTCGAGATACTTTCAAAATTTATAAATCAGAGAAAACCCTTCTGCGCTTTCAAAATTACACTAAACTTCCTAGCATCAATATTTTCTCATAAATAATGTTAATGGTTAGAGTAAAAAGTCTAGACTATTCTTTATTTAATTTTTACTATTCTTTCCCAAAAAAGATAATATATAAATTATATTTAGTATATAGGGTAAAATTGTCTAAAAGTTTTCACATTTTGAACACATAAATGCTTAAAGCAATGCCGTCAGTCTAGATAATTAAGTAAGACAATTCAGGGAGGTTTTCTATGATTTATAAAGTTCAGGGATTTTCTGGAGTTTACCCAAAATCTCTGCGACTCTGACAATAGCACAATTACGCATAGAAACTTTGAAAAGTAAAATTACCATAAAGCTAGAACTAGCTATCCATCCATGCCATTTCTTCAAGGTCTTGTTATAAGATTCATTACAGGCACGAGACATACTGCAATCTGGATTCTCATTCAAATTTGTTAACAGTTGCACTAAGAAGTCCATGGCCCTGAAATAATAATTTCTCCGTCATTCATTATAACGACAATTCTGAAATACCCACAAAAATAATATAAAACTCACCTGGTTAACCAAAGAAGTGCATTTGTGCAGCTTGAATAGGATTTAGCTGTTCTATTTTCAACTTCAACTAGCACTATGGTGTACATGAATTTGAACTTCTGAGTATCTGAAGTGTACTTGTTTTCAAGTCTCTGCACAAAAAGAATTCAATGGTAAAGGTAAAAGGATTGTAATTTTGTACATTGGTAATTAATGAGAGGGAAACATAAGGATTTCTTACCGATATGTTACCCCCAATATCTGCCTTCACAATTACCATAGCCGGTCCAAACTTATCTAGCGACATACAAATAAATTATAATAAAAAAATGAACATGTAGTCATAAGTTGGAAATAATGATAGAATCCTGAAAATTCCAACTGAAAAGATGTGTAAATCAAGTAATATGTACAAAATTTTAATTACAGTTTTTTTCCATTTTATGAAATTCAGGTTTGTCGTCTCTGTTAATTTGATAAGAATGAGAAAAAAAATCTCTCGATAATGAATAAAATGGTTTCTGGCAGATATGATACAGATAGGAAAGACAAGTTTAGAGCAAGAAAGATCAATTTTGTCCTTTTGAGTGTTGGCATTTAACTGTGATGAATTCCTATATGTTTGAGAACTTTGGCATACAAGTGAAATGAAAAGATTTTTAAAAACAACTGAAGTGTTAGAAATAGAACTTTGCTCCTGTTCTATAATTTCATATTTGTTTATATTACAAATTGTATGATTATAACCAATAAAGAAAAAAATAGGATAATATCGCAGTAGTAATTAAGACGGTTTTCTGACAGATATGGTAGAGATACCAAATACATCTATATACTTATCAATGTATTTTGAAACAACAAAGACCAATTTTACCGTTTACTATTGACAGATTTTTGTCACTTTTTATAACATTGGCATACAATGAAATCTATGACAAGATTTGTAAGACAAGTTTAAACTGTTGGAAAAATAAAATGATGATATATGTAGCTGAAAATAATACCTAGGACGGGGAGGATGAGCTTGCAGACATCAAGGAAAGGCTTGGTGAGCATTTCGCCTTCCTTGGTTCTCACATGCTTCATTCCCTCCATTGAGGGTGTCAGCACGCTCCCCTCCATTTCTTTCCTCGAATCCCCTCACCTGTCGATGAGACCGAACAATATAGTTCCATTTTTATGTGAATAAAGAACCAACAAATTTCTAACATTATGTTTCAAATAATGTAGGTGCCAAAGAGAACAGTTACCATTCCACATGCAAGCATGATAATCAAATTTTGCAAAATTTTTGGAAAGATTTTGTCTCAAGAAATATCAGCATAATATTGTTACATATCAAATCTCTTCCAACTTTATTTTTATAAGAAACTATGATCATCAGAAGTTGTAAGGTAATCTCACCCTGCTACAAACCTTGAAGGAAACTGAATAAAAAATTTCAGAAAAAGGAAACTATTTTGAATAATTCCACTCCCTTAGTTTTCTTCCTTTTTCCTCTACCTCTGTTTCCCTCAATAGCTTTGTGAGGTTCAAATGTCAGAAGCTTGATCTCAACGGCTATTTATAGAGAGAAAGCTAATTATAAGGGGCCGAGCTTCTTCTACCCCCCCTAATGTCTTTCTCCCCCTTAAGATTCTCATCTCATACTTTAACCAAAAATGAAGAGAAAAATAGACCAATAAACTTCATGTATCTCTTTTGAGGCATACCATTGATGCACATTTCTCTCTTTCATGTGCATTAAACCGGTAACTATCTTGTCATGATAGCAAGAATCTCCATTTCTTTTAGATTGCCCACTTAATCTCTAGTATGTTTTCTCAGTCTCTCTCACATCACACACCGATCGATTATAAGATATGTATGTTTTGGGAATGTTCCTACTGGAAATGACAGGACTCAATTATAAGAGGTAAGATGTTAAAACTTCAGCAGAGGCAGCCTTCGATTCGAATCCAAACCGATTGAACGAGCTCACATTTGTGAGTGAATGAAAGATGCTTCATTTAAATACCACAATTTGTCTTCTCCGTTGCAAAATAGATGTAGTTCAACGTTCACTGGCACAGTCCACATATTATAGAAACATCAAGAAACAAACCAAAAGACTATATATCACTAAAGTTGCATGATGAATATATTTTCGAGCTGGCATCAAAATTATATTGAAGTAATCCCCTAATTAGATGTTTACTTCACTCTTTTTAAATTTTCTAAACCAACCTATTTGGACTTTTATTCCCAAAAAACGACCCCATTCAAAAATAATTGCAAAAACCGACCTGGTTTCAGCCTCAGTGCTGAAACCAGGTCGGTTTTTGAAAAAAACTCTCCGAAACTTCACGGGAGTTGAACTCCCGTGAAGTTTCGTAGTTCAAAAAACTTCACGGGAGTTGAACTCCCGTGAAGTTTCGGAGAGTTTTTTTCAAAAACCGACCTGGTTTCAGCGCTGAGGCTGAAACCAGGTCGGTTTCTCTAAATAAATGTGAAACGGGTCTTTTTTTGGGAATAAAAGTCCAAATAGGTTGGTTTTGAAAATTTGTCCTGAAGATAATAGAAGAATACGAGAGATGGTGGATGTCTTGCGCATTGTAATATGGAACATCAAACGGTTTTTCAAGTACAGTAGAACATTAAATTTTGTCATAAAAGGACTGAGTTTGTACAAGCGAGTTTTATACGCGCGGACTGCCCCCTCTCTGCTTTTCTGTTTCTCTTTATTTCCTTTTTCCCTTTTTCACACAATGATTCGACACCTAGGCGTTTTCTTTTTCTCTTTTATTTCCTTTTCCCTCTTTTACACACAATAATACAACATGAAGGAGCTACTATATTACATTTTCTTTTGTGCACGTATAAAAGAATGTAGATTGAAGAGCCTCAACAATATAATCAATCAATAAGTTTCAATAAACCAATACAAAAAGAGGAACCATCTTGGGTGTAAAATGGGTTCCTTTCCATTGCTCAAGCCAGTAGTCGCTGATTTGATCAACCAAAAGTCTTTCCCAAGAGACTAATCTACCTTTACCTGCAAATCGATGTGATATCAGTTATCATGGATCACAAATTCAAAAGAAAAAAAGAAAGAAGGAAAAACGCACACACACGCTATGCGGCTATATCTAAATGTTGTGGATAGAACCCCTTAGTACCAGTTTGAACTTACTACCTATCTAGCTTTGTCGTTGCAGATAGAACCTTGAAAGATTTTCCTGACTCTTTTACCCTCAAAGGGTCCACTGTCAAAAATACTTTTCTTTTTCTCTGAGGGTAAGAGTGAAAAAAATTCATTCAGGGGCTTTATCTGCAATAATATTACAGGGGGTCTATCCGCAACTAACCCTATCTAAAAAGATGATGTATAGATATCACCTTGGTCAGGTATTTGCTATGAAGCTTAAGCGCATCATCACACGCCTTCTTCGCATCCAAGTTCCCAGTAATATCATTCAAGATCTAGTAAAATATAATTAAAAATGAGAAACTTCAAAACAAAAACACAAACTAAGAAGGAAATATGAACCGCAGAATAATGAACACCTGAACAACATCATCCTGGCCTTTAGCCTCCTGCAACAATTTCTTGCTTTGTGTCTCAAGAACACTTGCTACCACAAAGATTGATAAAGGGGCTTGTGGAGCATTCTTCTGACCAATTCTCACATTCTTTCTCACGAATTTACCATACTTTTTTAGCAAGGCTACATTTGATGCAGCATCTACTCCACTTGAAGATTTTGTACCAGACTCGTACAAGGAGAAGAGCATGGGGCTGTATTCCATAGCCCACATTAGCTGCAAGTTTTGTGGATCAACAATCTTCTTATTTCAGTTAGCTTTGGTATCAAGTGATGACTAAAGATGATAAGAAGGAAGAGAGGGAGAAAGCTGAACAAGAGTGATAAAAAATGATGTATGTTGTTTGGTGAAAGCTTGTCAATAGCTTTGGGAGATGCATCAGCTGCTATTTTGACTAACAAGAGGCTGTTGCAAGAACAGACTTTTGTTTTCTTGGGTAAATTGCACATCATCCCCTCATCTGTTCCTTGAGTTACACTTGACTGCCTCAACTCATTTATTAGCACTCAGCCCCCCTCAGTTCATGAGGGAGAGGGGTGTTACCTGCAATTTATCTTTCTAAAATAGAAATTCAAAGACTGAAGGTATAGATAAGGAGTTTTGTGCGATTTACTCTTTTCTTTTTAGGTAAAGAACACAGAAATTTAAACTAACCTCCCAAAGGTACAATGTGTCTACAAATGAGAACTCCCTGCGGAAAAGAACCATCAACATTCTGAATGCGAACAAATACTCTCCTCCATCTAAGTTCTCTGTCAATTACATCTCTATCAGAGTTATGAACAATTATGATCGTGAATCTTTTGTATTTTTAAAATTGTAATAAAAAATGTCAACTTTGATTTACTTATGTATAAAAGGTCTAAGGAATGGCTTTGACAAGGAAATACAAGGGTAGGGAGGAAAAACATTTTAAGTAATATGCATGCTCCTCTTTTCGCTTGTAAGACTGGCCATAGTAGTAAGCTGTACCACTGAAATCATATAGATGAAAGCATACATGATACACACACCCCACACAAATATAATTACTAGATGCAAGTGGAAAGGAATAATGTAAACATCAAAAATGCATTAAAGCATCCACAATCATTTGAACTGATGGTTGCCTTAGACATTCTTCTTTGTCCAAAGATTCAAAACGAGTATAGCAATGACATATGAACTCCTATTTTCTCAGGCAAACAGAAATACCCCGTTCTGGAATTTCTTCAATGATTAGTAATTTTTTTCTTAATTTCGGTCACATGTGCATATTAACCCAAAGTTAGAAATTTGTATCAGTTTCTAAATAGCATTTAACATTTATTCGCAAATTGACAAATATGGTAACTACTAAGAAGAGGAAATGATAAATTTCTCTATGATAATAGCTCGTGCAAAAATGTTTTGGAATTTAGGTTGAGTACTTGCCCACCTAATATAAACCAATTTCTATGAATGAAGGATCCTCCGAGTCTAAAGCAACATTTCCAAGGTTCTAACTAATAAATGTCAGGTAGATGGCAACTAGAGGAATCATATGTTTGATAGCAGATGTCAGGCGACACGTCGGGATATGGAGCAGAACCTGAACATGATTGGGGATGAAAAGCATGCGTATCTTAAACATTTACAAATTTAGCATAATGGATATCCCAACTATCATTTATCTAATACAATAGTGAAATACTAGTCGTGTTAAAAGGATGCATATTGACATAATACAACCAAAAACAAATATTAGAAGGATCCATTCTTAAGGCATGTTTATGCGTACATACCGATGGCAGGCAAAATGTGAGACGACCAACCCAATATATATAGAAGAATGAAAAATAATATAGGTGTATCTACCTAATGTCATGGAAACGGATGCTAAAGAATGATAGTAGACTGCATGTTGGGAACAATTAAAACAGTGATCGTGGCAAAAAGAAACATTAAAGAAAGCCAACAGAAATCGTAAGGAGACTTACGTATGTGCTCATGGAGCTTTGGATCCAAAGATTTTATGATAGTCGACAGAATTGTCAGTTGAGCTCGAACTCCAATTGAATCACTCGTGCATTTGAAATTTC